TGAATGGCGATAAAATCAGCACTCTTTACTTCCTCCAGGATGTAATCCTTAAGCACTGACAGCATACAGTCCAACAGCTCGTTCTGTATCGTCTTTGACGTGCCCTTAAAAACGGTAGCTGTCTTCAGGTGCTCCTCCAGCACACTGTCGAGGGAGGCAACAAAATCCACTAAGCCCCGGAAAATGCCGGGGTTGTCCGAGGAGTCAGTCTCCTCGTGCCCACGCAAGGCCAACTCAAAAGCCCCACAGAACTTCACACAATCGATAATTTTGGATAGAATGTGCCTGTTTTTATCCACCTCCTCATTGTGTTTCCTCACCGCAATCCTGTGGCCGTCATCCAGCTGCGTAGCAATGTTCACCCTTCCTAATACAGCTAGCTTTACAGAGTTGTCCATGTGTGCCCTGGTGTTCTCATGTTTCTTTACCTTCTCTGACAGGTGCTTCATATCCCTCACTCCGGTACCTGTCCATGCTGAATCTGACCCCGTCGTTTTAAAAAGCAAGCACGGAAAGCAAAATAAAGCATTAGCATCAGTGCACCCAGCTAGCCAAGCCTTCCTGGTGTACCAGCTACGGGAGAAGCCGCGCATATACTGCTTCCCTTTCTCGCTAGCCTGCTGTCTGATTGAGAGGTCAGGTTGATCTGGGCCCAGCTCTTTCACCCGAACTTTCTCTGACAAAGTTCTCCTCTCAAACGGATCTTGGAGGAGAGATTTCACCGAGTTAGGGTTGGGTCTTGGAGGAGTAACGTTTGCGCTCGCCATTGTCGTCTAGTAAAAATGGCGCCACTGGAGCCCGGTCCTTATTTTATCAGGGGCGAGCTTGGGGCGATAAAATAATCGCCCTCCTTGGATTCGAATTAAAATCGCTGATTAGCTACATTTTATGTCATACATTCATATCTTAAATTAGCAATTGGCTTAACTGCTACGTAGACCCGCCTCCTCGGGGCACTTTCTGTATCGCCCAGAGCTGACGAGGCGTTTGACAGGCAGAGGAAAGGTTGCGAATATGATTTTCTATCATATCTTACACATATTACTGTGTGCATTCCATATTTCAAACACACAAATATTGACATACTGATGTTTTTATTATTATTTTTTTTTTTTATATTTTTTTTTTTTTTTTTTTTTTTTAATAATTTTATTTAAGGGGGCGGCGCCCTAGCGCCCTCTATCGGCCAGCCGCCACTGGTAGTAACGTCTTGTTTGGTTCAGTTTATTTATTACGGAGTGTCCATAATACTATAATAATACATAATCGAATTCCCCTCATGCATACAGATTTCACCTTATGCCATTTAAATGCAAAATAAACCATAATAGTTTAATGGAGCCCCCTATTGGCTCTCCCCTACCTATACATTTCTTCCATAACCACATTAGTTATGGTCCGATTAGCCATTAAACCTTATCACATGATCAAACAACGCCACAACCTTAAACTCATATGGGGCGGCAGGCAGCTTAGTGATCAATAGCGCCGCGCCAACAACCGAGAGGTCGCCGGTTCCAATCCCCGAGCCGACCAGGCGAAAAATCTGCCGATGTGCCCTCGAGCAAGGCACTCAACCCCAATCGCTCCTGCAAGTCGCTCTGGACAAGAGCGTCTGCCAAATCACCAAAAATGCAAATGTAAATATTCTCTACTTTCTCACCCATCTCATCCCTCGTCAGAAACCCACATGCACCTCTCAAATAATCACCCCGTGGTGTTCCCAGCCAACTCCCAGTCTCTCCTGGCTCCAAAAGCCACACTTTCGCTCTCTCCAGCCCCTCCCCTCGCAACTCTCTCTCCAGTGTTCCGTGGGAGAAGGCTCTTTTGAAGAGATGTTTTTCGTTTTAGTGTTCCCAATATTCTGCCGTTATTTAAAGTACTTTAGTCTATTTATTTAAATCAAATCATTCCCACCTAATTAGTTAAAGTTGGTGCATATTTATATTTCAACGATAAACCGAATTATTTCAGTCTAATTGTTTAACCAGTATTTTGCAGGGTCAAACATCAAACGTTAAATCAAATAATAAACCAAAAAGCCTCAACCCAAGCACCTAAAACCAGTATTATGCTATGTCAAACATCAAACATTAAATCAAATAATAAACCGAATTGCTTCAACACAACTATTCAAAACCAGTATTATGCTATGTCAAACATCAATAACAGGTTATACGGTTTTAAGCAACCACAAACCCAACAGTTATCCCCAAATTTATACAGTTTGGACAGGCACAGACGTCTTTGATTCCCAATTAGTTTTCTATCAAGGTATACAGGTTTATCATTCACACTCTCATGCATACGTCACCCCTGTCTTAAAGAATTTTAAGTGTCTCATTTGAACCTAGTCATATCTAGTCTGAACTGATATGTGCCATAGCGTCGCACTGCCTATTTATTTAAAGTACCTCCTATGGGTGTCTTTTGTTAACGTTTGCACAATTTAAACTTTATTTCCTAATTGTAATTCTCATTATTTACTGTTTTAAAATATTGTTTGTATTCTCAGCCAAAATGGTACACAGTTATTACACAGTTAAACGTAGTATACAGTTATCACACTCACTCACAATACACAGTCATAATCCTATATAATATAATATGCCATTTAGCAGACGCTTTTATCCAAAGCGACTTACAGTCATGCGTGCATACATTTTTGTGTGGTCCCGGGGATCGAACCCACTACCTTGGCGTTACAAGCGCCGTGCTCTACCAGCTGAGCTACAGAGGACCACGGCTATCACAGTCATAAATGACACACTTACTTTAAGTCATTTAGCAGACGCTCGTATCCAGAGCGACTTACAGTTAGTGAGTGCATAATACTTTTTTTTTTCATACTGGCCCCCCGTGGGAATGGAACCCACAACCCTGGCGTTGCAAACGCCATGCTCTACCAACTGAGCTACATCCCTGCCGGCCATTCCCTCCCCTACCCTGGACGACGCTTGGACAATTGTGCGCCGCCCCATGGGTCTCCCGGTCGCGGCCGGCTACGACAGAGCCTGGATTCTAACCAGGATCTCTAGTGGCACAGCTAACACTGCGATGCAGTGCCTTAGACCACTGCGCCACCTCTTTGAATGTCCATATTCAGTATTTTATTTCAAACCCAACTGTGCATTAATAAATATATCGTTCTGTCAGCGTCATTATGGTAGGCCTACACCACAGACACTATTATCTGACATGCACACCCACTTGCGTCCAGCCGAACTATGAGAGAGAGAGCTCAACATTGAGCAATACAAAGTTCAAGCTGCAGACTGTAGGGATAGAACGCTCACTGTCTAGGTAGAGGTTTGGGTGCTGCATTGTGACTGCCACTGACTAACCGGCCGCAGGTCAGGGCATACTGTTACCCTGTGACACAAAGTGAGCGCTATTTCTGAACTTGTAGAAGTTCCAGCTGGACCAAATTCAAGTCAGACTTCAGTAAATTAAAGGGACGGGTCAGCTGCACCATGATTAGCATACACACCTATCAGTCATACTCACAACTTCCGATTCTACACGGGCCCATTCTCTATGTAGAACTTACATTTACATTAGTCATTTAGCAGACGCTTTTATCCAGAGCGACTTACAGTCACTGCATACATTTTCATACTGGCCCCCCATGGGAAACGAATCCACAACCCTGGCGTTGCAAGCGCCATGCTCTACCAACTGAGCTACAGGGGACTACAATACCTGTGTCCTCTCTCTGTTGCTTTAGCAACAACATCGAAATGCGTGTAACCATGGTGGGGCAAAACAGATGAGGTTGGCTTAGATTGTTAACATGTAAGCTATATTCCAATTTGTAAGTCGCTCTGGATAAGAGCGTCTGCTAAATGACGTAAATGTAAATGTATATTAAGTCTCCAATGTTTATTGAAATCAAATACATTTGCATAATAACCACTTATTGTTTCAAATATTTGTATCGACATGAAATCAGTCAAAACACCTCAAAACAAGACATGGTATCAATAACACGATGAAGCATGCTGAAAGCCACTTATGATTCCCCACATTGCAGTGTCATTCTTGCTAGCAATCTGGCCATCCAAAATCACAACAGGCTGATTTATGCCTCATGGAAGCGCGTACATCGTTTTCGTGACGTTGTCAGCCAACTCATCGATGTAGCTAGATGCTAAATAATTGTATTGTAAACACACACAATCTATTCACTTACTCCTGCAAATACAACAACCTTCTGTGTTTCCTGAGCTGCATCTTCAATTCCGTATGTCCATCTTCTATAAATTGGAAAAAATGTTAACTCAGCTATCCAGCAGTTTTTTCAACAGATAAAGTTAGCTAGCTAATTGAGATGACGTTACCAAAATTAGCTAACTCGTCATGTTAGCCATGTTAGCTAAGATCTTTATTAGTATTTTTTTGCATATTTGGACAGTACTTGATTAGACAGTAATTGGTATAGTTGATGAAATATATTTATCTACAAATGCCAACCATGTGAAATCTCACGTGCATGTGGTCATGCGCAGAATGAAATTGAACAAAACTGGGACCTTACTACTATTACAGGTGTAGGATCTTAATTTTAGCCAGTTTGCTACAGCAGGAAAATAATCCTGCAGCAACAGAAACTGTGAATTATTATGTGGATTATAATTAGCCTAATGGACAATTGTGTAGGGCTTGGTACATTTTTCGTAAGGGAAAATCAAGTTTGACATTTCAAAATGCAAATTACAAACTTCAGAAGTTGTACATTTCCAGCATTGCAGGAAAGTTCTCCTGCAACAGGGTGATCAAATTATGATCCTACTCCTGTACACTGCACTGATTTGGTAAATATACTGCAGATTTTAATGAATTTGTAAGTACACACACACACACACCTCATATTCAGTTTACAAAGAGACAAAAACACAAAAGACAATGTCAAACACCCATTCCATTCCTTCTTCCTCTCTATCACAGATCTTCTGGCCTGCCTTTTGCACTTGACCAAATATAAACTTGATATTTCTTGGCAGACAGACAGGTTGCAATGGGGAGGAGTCTCACAGTTCTGTTCAGTCCAGGACAGGCTGAAGGACAAACAGACACAAAGGTGCAGAAAGAGAAAGGGACAAAGGATTGACCAACAAAATTAAAGGTGAGTTAAACTTTTTGGATAAAGGACAGTAAGTTTCTATAGATTTTATGGTATTTGTTTAATTTTTGCTTCCCATTTCAGATCACCAGTAATATCAACAGGCCTATGGCATGGCTTCTGTCTGTTGTTGTTTTTACTTTACTTTTCTTTTAATTTAGGTATTAAAAACCCAACATTTATAACATTTATTTGACTTAATTTGAAAATGACTAGGTTAGACATTTACTGTCAGTTAACATGTATTGTGAGCCATTCTCATGGGGTATCTCATCTTTGAAGGTTTATTGAGAGCTTTAGCTTGACCTACTTACTGTATGTGCCGTTGCTGGGGTAGAGGAGCCAGAATACAAACCTTTGACATAGATAATGTGTGGGCCTAGACCTGGATTTTTTCATCTTGTCTGTAGGGTGTAATAAATTACCTACAAATATAATAACACTTTTCTAAAAGGAACAAATCTACACATAGCCTACTGTCTCTCTGTCTACACAAACATAGAAACAAATGCACAATTCTATTCTCTGTCCATTGGTTTAAAAGTTGTCTGTCTGTAGCCCACAGGAATGGCGTCTCCTGCATCGATGGTGGCCCGCAGGGTATTATCTGCTGCATCACACGCAGGCCATGAGGGAGGATCAGGTGTGTGTAGTGTACTGAACTCTTCTCATATTGTGTTATAGTCTCTCTCTGCCCTGCTGCCTACGCATTTTGTGTTTAGTCAGGCTTCTGGGTTTAACATTAACAGAGGTTTGTGGAAAGTTGGCAGTCTTCCTCTTACATTCATGAAATGTTTGTGCTCTGCTGTATTTAGGCCTGTCAGGTGACTTACAAATGTATCATATTGTAATTGAGGTGCTTCTGCCCAGCATGTCAGAGCCTGAGACAAGGAACCAAGGCTGAGTCACTGAAATCTGGACTGGCTCATCAGTGTTTTGGAGCTCCTCTGTTACTGAGTTATGCTGGTGTTCTGGTGTACCCAAGCCTTGATAACTCAAGGTCAGATAGAACAGTTGAGTCTGATCTATCGGAACTGGTTTGAACTCCACAGCTAGGACCTGGAAGATCCTGTCATTTGTGTTGGCCTTACCTGGTGTGGCCGTATGCATCGCCAACGCCTACATGAAGATGCAGCAGCACTCCCATGAACCCCCTGAGTTTGTGGCCTACTCACACCTTCGCATCCGCACCAAGGTAATACAGGAGGCACTCTCTCATAACCAACAGACTATAGCCACATCCTCAGACTAGCTTCACTCACAGTTAATCATCTACATGTTAGGATTGGTAGTAGTAGTGGGATGTCTTTCTGAACATAGCTCTAGTTTTATCCAATCTATCCTGAATGATGAAAACAACTTTCTCTCTGGTTCAGAAATGGCCCTGGGGTGATGGCAACCACTCGCTCTTCCACAACCCTCATGAAAATGCTCTTCCTGATGGTTATGAGGGCCCCCGCCACTAAGGAGACCTCTTGAGTGTCCATGTTGATCATCCACCTTCCCTGATTGCTACATGCTGAATAGCTCTAATGAACATGGCATAATGCTACTGACCCAGGGGCCAATTAGCAACACTACTGACTGTGGTGCTCCCAGTCAGATATAAATAAAAAAATACTTTTCTACTGTATCACACACACTGGGTGGCTTCTCATTTGTTTACCTCCAACTGTCTGATTGTATTATATGTGTAAGATGAAGAATGGAACTAGTATGTAAACATATAGTACAAGTATATTCCAGTTCTGAACACCAAACATACCTTGAGGACAAGACAGACCAACACAGACGTTGGCAGTGCGCAGTGGGTGTGGCCTTGCTACTGCCTCTGACCACAGAACATCGGCTGTCATTTTCTGTTCATTTCCCGACAATTCTACATGTTGAATCACCACCGTTCGTTGGAACACTGAGCAGGTGATCTACTGTGCATGGCCAACATTCGTGTTATTCTATCTTGTCCTTTAGATACAGTATGCCTTTTTTCAGAAAGGACAAAAGAGAAACAGACGTCAAGGTTGACACAAAGACAACAGGATGTCTAAACAGATTTATTGAGGAGCATGGATTCACATGAGGCGAGTGAAAGCTAATCTCTGTGTCTGTTATCTTCACCTCGCAGCTACTCCTAAAGTTCTCTTTTTACAGCATTTACAACATGGCACCCAGTCCGACCCTGATTATTCCAGTCATCCAAGTCAATATAGGACAGCTCTGTTTACATTTCAAATTCAAACAGAAAATATTTAAAAAGTAAACATTAAATGCAACAAAAGTATTTAGCATATTACATTAAGCTAATATATTTTAATTATAATACAACTTAAATTTACAGTGCGCCATGTAGTAAAAACTAATTTCCCCATGATTCTATGTCTGAGAACCCATCCCTTTAAATGGCAGCATGACTCCTTTAAATATAAATGTACTATTCTGAAGAAAATAATTCAGAGTTCAATCAATTACTTTGTAAACACCAATATTGGAATAAAGGTTATCTGTTCGGAGACAAACAGATATTCTCAAGGAAGGAAGGCTAATCATGTTGTAAAGACTTAAGAAAATAAGACACATTTTCACAATGGCAAATGTTAATTTAAGTGTCATTGAAAGACAAACATGATCTTATACCATCCCTAATAATCCTCATATTTTATCCTCTGTCTCTCCTTTCTTTGCCTCCATCCACACCTAACACCCCTCTTTCCTCCTAGCCCTCCCCCTCTCAGCTCAGGGCCATGGTGGCCAGACTCACTAGGTCACGTTTCAGAGTCTCTGTACAGTCTGCCTCTCTGGCCAGTCTGCGCAGGCAGTCTGCAGCCAGGGAAGAAGGGTGGGGCTGGGGGGAGCCCTGAGAGCCCAGCAGTAGGGACAGGCAGGCCCTGCCCAGTCCAGGGTAGCTGTACCGCTGGGAGAACCAATAAACCTGGGGTAGGAGGGTCCATCTACCAGGACCACCTTTAGAGTCCTGAGCAGAATCCACAACCTTCTGTGTGTTTGAAACACTCCGCAGTTTAGAACGTCTTTTGCAGCACTTTGAGGCAGAACTTGATTTCAGCGGATTGACACAAGTCTCCAGTCCTGAGGTTGTCTTTGGTGCACTACTGCCCTTCTGGCCTGGTCCATGGGCAGAGTACCGTCTACACTCTGTCTGCTGACAGGGTTGGAGTCCAGAGCCATGTAGTGACTCAGCCTGGCCTGCTGTCACTGTGGGGGCCAAGGAGTCTGTCTGGGCCTCAGAACCACTCAACTCTAGTCCAGATGTGCGGTTTGCCAGGCTCTCGTCAGCAGACTCTCCCTCTGACCCATATTGGTCCATGTTAGATGGAGGCTTTTTGCCAGTGTCTGCAATTCGACCAGCATTCTTGGCAGAGCAGGACAGCAAAGACACACACAGATCCTCCACCTCCCTCTGCAACTCTGTCACCAAAAACCTACAGGCCCCCATCATAGTCTCAGCCAGGGGGGTCTTCTGGAAGCCCTGTGCCTCTGGTGAGGGTTCTTCTGCCCAGTCTCTCCAGACACCCAGTCCTTCAGAGGCCAAGGATCCCAAAACCTGACACTCTCCTCTGCCTTCTCTCTCCGTCTCATCCCCCTGTTCCTCTGCTGTCTCTCCATCCTTGTTCAGGCGACAGCCATGCAGATAGTGCAGTACAGGTAGCAGCATGCCTTGGCTCACGTCCCTGATGGGGATGGCCTCCCCTGTTCTCCCCTGAGCCTCTCCAAAGCCCCCCCTCAATAGGGCCCTGAAGTACTCTGACCCCACCACCTCGGTTCCCTCCGCCCCAGCCACTGCTTCCCTATTGGCTGACACCTGGCTCCCATCGTCCAGCAGGAAGAGGAGGTCAAAGGTTGAGTCATTGTAAGGACAGAGATTGACCAGACATGGCTTTTTTAAGGGAGGGGGTGAAGCTTTACCGGTTTGTGAGACTGACAGGGGTTTTGATAGGACTGAGTACCCTGCACCTTCTTTTAGCCAGTACTGTTTTGGGGCAACCCATCAGACTAGAGAGGCATCCAATCAGCAGGGAGAAATATAGAGAGTGGAGCTGGGGGGCGGAGACATGTTGCGGTGAGTTGAGACAATCTGAGAGGAGTCTTCGGCATTCACTGGTGTGATGATCTTCCTCTTCCTCGTCCTCATGACATCCAAGGGGCTCCAGAGCCAAGAGCAGACCACCATTGTCCAGAAGAAGTTTCTTCAAGAGAACCTTGTTACTGTTAGGGAACACAAGTTGATGTTCGATTACAGTTGGTGTACATTTCATTATGTTCCACCAGTGCCATTTCACACTGACACAAGACAGTTTTACTTACCCATTTATTAGTGGTAGAGACAGGGCACAGTTCAGCTTGTCCGACTCCGAGCCTGACAGCATCACATGGCTCAGGACACCAGAACCAAATCCAGACTCACACTGAACGCGTAGATTACTAAGCAGAGCAAGACCTAAAGACATACGCACATTAAATTATACCCAAAACGTTACAGCAGCACCATTACACAAACTAAAAACAAAACCTTTATGACCAAGTACAACAATGAAACTTACCAAGCTGTTTCACTTTGGCCTTGACCCTATCAGTCTGCCTCTCTCCATCTCCCCAACTCTCAGGGTCACTCCCTCTCTGGACCAGGTGGTGGCGGATCAGAGCCACTGAGCCAGTCCTGACCAGCGCCTGCAGGCAGTTGGGGTTGCAGCTCAGCCGGCACAGCATGCGGAAGCACCTGCCGCTGGGGTCCTGATGCTGGCTGAGGTAGAACAGTAGGCCAGAGATGATGCCTGAGTTGACCAGAGCAGCGCTGGGGTCCGTGGCGTGAGAGAAGCGTGAGAGCAGGAGCAGGATGGGAGACTCTGGGGCCCAAGGCTCAGGGTGGTAGGGGTGGTGGTAGGCCTGGGGTCGGGACACTGTGGGAGGGGTGTCGAGGGGCACCACACTGGAGCGAGTGGTTGAGGGGACACGTGGCCTTTTCCGTGGAGGGGAGGAGAACTTGGATGGGGAGACAGGAGTGAGGGGTGGCTTAGTGGGGAAAGGGAGAGAAGAGGTAGAGGAGCTGGGCTGGGCTTGGGGGGTGGAGGTAGAGGAGCTGGGCTGGGCTTGGGGGGTGGAGGTAGAGGAGCTGGGCTGGGCTTGGGGGGTGGAGGTAGAGGAGCTGGGCTGGGCTTGGGGGTGGAGGTAGAGGAGCTGGGCTGGGCTTGGGGGGTGGAGGTAGAGGAGCTGGGCTGGGCTTGGGGTGGGTTAGAGGAGCTGGGCTGGGCTTGGGGGGTGGCGGTAGAGGAGCTGGGCTGGGCTTGGGGGGTGGAGGTAGAGGAGCTGGGCTGGGCTTGGGGGTTGGCGGTAGAGGAGGGCAGAGGGACACAGGGAGACAGATCAGTGGTTTTTGAGGGAGATGACATGTGGACCTGAGCTAGAGAACTCGTTGAGGTAGAGGGGGTGGATTGACTCCGAGTCCCAGGTTTGGGTGCGGATAAGGGAGTGGAGGAAGGTAGTGAGCGGGTAGGAGATAAGCATTTTAAAGGGGAATGACAGTCAGAGGAAGAGGTTTGGGGAGAAGAAGAGGGGATATGAAGACTCCCCCAATCTCCCTCCGTGCCTCCAGGAGAGTCAAGAAGATCCCCCTCAGATGAGATCAATCCTTCAGACACCAACCAGGACCTGGAGGAGCAGCAATAGGACAGGTCAGATAACAATTTTTACAAAACTCAAATAAATCACAGGTGCACAAACCAAGAGGGGGGCAAAGGTGAGTCTGTTCACCTCACTCACCTCAGGCTAAGAAAGCTAGATGACCCAAGGACATGCTCCTTCCCCATGTCCTCTTTCCTGTTCCCCTCAGGGGGAGGGAAGTCAAATGAGTCGAAACATGATGTAGACAGCAGCTCTGAAGCAAACATGGTAGAGGTGAGGCTCACATCCATCTTCCCAGCAGATGGCTCCTCACCTTTAGCCAGCTCCACTAACCGAGCAACTAGCAGGGGGACTATTCCCAGTTCTTGTAACTGTTCCAGGGCAGCTTCGTCATAGACAAAGTCAACACAAGCCAGAATGACCAATCGGTCGAGGGGGTGGCTCCGATGGACACCCAGGAAGCCAATCAACACCTCCAGACCGCCGCTCTCCTTCACCTTGGCCCGGTTCACTGCCTCTTTGCAGCATAAGCAGAGAGCCTTGAGGAACACTCCAGACTTCAGGCCGTCCTTCTTGACCTCCTCTGTAAACTTCTGGATTACTCCCAGGGAACCCACCAGAGGACGTAAGCAGCCTTGAGTGCACATGTTGGCCAGGGTTTTCAACGCAAGCTCCTCAAAAGGTTTACCGGCCTCTCCCGAAGCCATGACACCTAGCTGAGCTAGAACCCCAGATCGGGACACCTCTCTAGCACACTCTACACCACAGCCCCTGGTGAGCTCATGGAGGGTCCGGAGAGCTGCTCTCCTCAGCCCCAGAGGGTACTCCGGAGCAATGAGCGGGGAAAGAGCAGTCAGAGTACCCTGGGTGAGAAGTAAGAGGCGGTTTGAAGGGGTGTCTGCAAGGTAGAGGAGGGCACGGGCAGCCGACTGAGCACACTCAATTTTAGGGGAGGGGGCTTCCAGTGGGTCATCAGAGGGAGGGGATGGGGCAGATGAGAGAGAGACGCAGAGGAGCAGGAGTGGAACACCACCTGTATCGAAGACAGAAAAGCAATTATTTTTCAGGGACAAAATCTGATCTTCAACTTATACTACAAAATAAAAAATACCATCAGAAAGTGACGTACAGACAGACACAGACAGCCAACAGACTCTTACCGGCAGAGTGGATGAGCGTTGAACTCTCTGGGTCCATGGCCAAGTTCCCCAAGGCCCTGGCTGCTCTGTTCTGGATCGTCTCCATGGCTACATTCTTCTTCAAAATTCCCACTGAGAAAGGAAGAGCAAACTTACATTTCTGAAATTCTCACCATCATGTGAAATGAATGATTCAAACGTATTGTGATAGTCACTTACCCACAATAGATATTCCATCAAGCTTCCTAACCTTTAGAGGGGAGAAAAAAAATAAATATCATAATGTAAGTCACCACTGTCCAACTTTTCATACTAAACATGCATATTCAAGCAATGTGTAGCAGCCCTGATTTGTCCTACACCATTCTGTCTCACCTCGACTCGTGTCTGTCTCTCAGTGCAGCAGTTGGCCAGGATGCTGAGAGCCAGGTCCAGAGTCTTCCTGGAACACTCAGGGTGCTTGAGCAGGTCCAGGAGAGTGCGCAGTCCACCCTGGCCTCGGAATCGAGCTATCCCACTGCTTCCTCCTTTAATGTGCTGTGTGCGGATGGCCACCAGTGCTCGCCACTGCCCAGCTTTGACCCTCTTGTCCAGCTCTCTGTGTCCACTGGTGTCCGGCCCTGCTGTGCCTGGCTTGTGGTCATCTGATGCTGCTCTCCCAGGTTTAGAGAGCTGTGACAGGCACCACGTCAGAGAGGTCTCTGGGGAGGCCAAGGACACTTCTCTGGGGTTGCCTGCCCATGTCCCATGTTTCTGGCTCCCTGGCACTGGCTTTGACGCCATGATGCCACTAATTGCCTCCAACCCACCTGCTCTTCTGCTTATCCTCACTAACAAGTCACTTCAGACAGAAAGTGATGACATGGATGATGACAGGGGGAGACTGAGGGGCAGAAATGTGGATAGTTATTTTTGTGCATTTTACTTTTCAATTTTCTTAAGCTACATCATAAATGTATACAGTATTAAACATTGTTAACAAATTATCTCCTTAAATGTATTTTCATCTTAATCAATTTCCAAAGTTGGTCAAAAAATTCTGGAAATGAACAAACTATACTACAAATACCGACATCACAAGTGGAAAATATTACCCTTTGACCCCACTTCTCAGCAATGTTGCTGGGAGTTGGAGTTTGCAAACCTCTCGTCCACTCCCTAAAAAACAGGCCTCTGTATGTGACAAGGCCCAACAAACAATTACGGTGCGTTATGGTGCGAATACAAGTGATATAAGCTATGTTTTTAGTCCCATCTCAAGAATAATAAAGTATTTGCAATGACTAATTATTCCCACCGACCTAATTCATTTAATCAAACGAAAAACAATCGTCTTAGCTAGCCGCTAACGCCATCTTTTAGCTGGACGATAAACAGGAGGCGGCCACGAAAAGGGGGGAGGGATGTGCGAAGGGGTGGGTCGTTCTATTTAATCACGGGCCATGTAGTCTCAGCTGTTTTACAACTACCAGAATTAAGCAATATTTCTCTATGAAGAATAACATTTCCCTAAACATTTATAAATAACTCCTCGTTTCAAGCCATATCTAAAGCAACCAGGGATTGTTGTTAAGTAAGCAAAACAAATCTTGTTTAATTAGAACTGTAAAAACTACATTTTCCATATTGCTCTACGATGCAATGGCTACACTCAATGGGAGGTGCTGGAAACAAGTCTGGGGTTGTTGTTATAATCATCGTTTTAGTTGATGCGGGGGGGAAAAAAACATCGCATACCATAGCAGAGTTGTTAAATTATTCGATAGAATTGCTTGTCATATCCTACTTCAAACAAATGTGATTGTCACTGAGTAACACAATGGATGTTATTGAGACAGTTGTAACAGAGAGCGTTGAAGTAGATGAAACTCCAATGGTGTCCAGTTTGGATCCGGATAAATCGAAAGCAGGTCAGTGCATCTTGTCAGCAGACCGCATTCATCGTTATTTGCGAGGAGCTCGATGAGTTTGTGGTTGATCACTGATATTTATCAGAATCAATTTAATTGGCTCTCAAAGTTTCTCAATAGGGAAAGTTTCTGTAAACACACGGGCTACGAGGAAAACACATGACAATTAAATAAACAAAATGTAACAAAACTGTCATTTATTTGTATATTGTTTATATATATATATATATATATCAACTTCCCTTCTACAGAGTTTGTATGGACTTTACAAGCCACATGGCAACTTGTCCAAACCCGCCTCGAAATGGACCAGGATTTTGAACAGCCAGTGTGCAAGAAAAAGAAACTGTGGGAGACGGTGGCTGAGAGAGTGACTGCCAAGCTAAGGGCAGCTGGGAGCACAGATGTCACAGTCAAGGCCTATGAGTGTGATCTGAAGTGGCGTAACATGCTGGCCACATACAGGAAAAATGCTGAGCGGTCCAAGAGACTGGGGGCCCAGAGTGTCCACTGGGAGTTTTTCAAGGCCATGCATGAGGTTCTGGGGAAGAGTCGGGAGGAGATCGAAGCACAGCGCCGGGCCAAACTCAACGGGTACCAAGCTGGGCAAGGCTATTGCCAGCAAGCGGTTTACCCCCATCCTTCCTACACCCTCCCTGACAGCTGCCGCCTTTGCTTCCAGGCCCCCCCAGGATGTCCTGCAGCTGTACATGGAGCTGCAGGAGAGGAAGATGAACATGTGGGCCCAGCAGAAGGCCCTGGAGGAGAGGAAGATCGAGGCCATCAATAATCTAGCCCGTGCCATCTCCAGTTTGTCTCAGAGTCAAAACAACAGTGTCCAGCTGCCAGAGTAGCAGTACAGCACACCAGACCAGAGCAAAGGAGTTCTCACTGAACTAAAAACATTTGGATTTTGTGTGATAAATGGAAGCTTGTCCATAGCATGAAAGACTGCATCATGCAAATGTTTCTTAAGTGTTCAACCATTCAGTTACTTTGTGTTGTCATGATTTGTCATTGTATACGTTTTTATTACGCTGTAATAACACAATTTGACAAACAAAGGAGTTAATTTCAAAAACTCCCTTTAATACCTGTGAATGAGAAGAAGGCTACACAGGGCATATTGTACATAGATCTGCCATAGGATACAAATAATCCTACATATGAATAAAATACAAGATATTGCTGTGACACTCTTCCTTTTAATAAAATATACAATATAAATGCTGTTTATCTCAATACAAACACAAAAATTATAAATCACTTTACGTACTTCCAGAATCCAACTCTTTGTACAGCAGATCTGCGATGGCTTCCCTTCTCCTAACACCCTCCTCATCACACTCCCCCTCTCCCTCTTGTGTCCCAGCCTCCCTCTCAACCTGTCCCTTGACCACTTCCCTCATGTCCAGAAATACATTGTGGAGTATGCAGGCAGTCAGGACAACTGCTTTGGCTTTCTCATAGTTCCCCATGTCCAAATACCTGAGCCTTTCGAATCTGGCTTTCAGGTCAGCCACAGCCTGATCCAGGAGGTAAAAATGGGCTTCCAGGGTCCTGTTGTAAAGATTTCCCCTGGGGCCACGACCCACTACGTACGGGGTCAATATCTGGGCAGAGGCTGGATATCCAACTCTAGCCACTAGGCAGGTCTCTGGGGGCATCATCTCAGGGAGCTGTTTGAGTTTGTCCCTCAGAGCACTGGCTCTGTCCAGGTCTGATCCCTTGCTGATTCTGCAGTGTATCAACCTGCCTGTATGGTTACAAACCAGCTCCAGGTTCAGCCAGGAGTCGGGATGGGCCTCCTTCTTTATCCTCTTTACCTCTGTCACCATGCTCTCCACATCCTGTTTGCCAATTGGCAGGCGGATGGGGATGCGGGTGTGCCCCAAGACTCCCAGGACCCTGGGGACACCCTTCTCTTCCAGGCCATTGGCTTTCCCCAGCAGGCTGGAGAGGGGGGGGGGAGGTTTTCAACAGCATCAATGCCTGGAGGAGAGAAGAACCAGAAACAAACATGGGTGATGGAGTAAATTGTGTGTAAATAGTTTGAAGGTGCACATTTCAGGATATTGTAATCGGTTGGGACAATATACAAACGTTTTTGAGAAAGATAATTGGGAAAATGTTCTTGAGTAAATGTATTTATTGATGCCTTTTCATTTTGATCAGAGATAAAAACGCAATTAATTTAAGGTTATTTGTTGATGTAAAAATTTGAAATTTACTGATTTGAAGGTTGTGTCATTTGATTTGGGGTGGCAAGAAATGATTGGTGGAAAAATGGGGTCCCCAGAAATACTGGTGGATAAAATGGGGTCCATGCTGAAAATTTTTGTATACCACTGTTGTAATTGATCCACACTTAACAACAGTCTACATACCAGTCGGCCATCTAATTTGTTGGTCCTCAAGTGTGTTCACACGCTCACAAAAGGAAAAGAAGATCCTATGGATGTTTCCTTTCTCCAGGTGGAAACTGGTAGACACAGAGCGATAGCTGAGGCGCTTGGAGAGGAGGGTGAGGGACAGGAGAACAGTGTGGGACAGGGATAAGCGGGCACGTCCTGCCATACGGCTCAGATTGTATCTTGAGTTTGAATTCTGGAGGAGATCTGTAATGTACTGAGAGATGAAAACAAACATAAATCAGATCTGTGCACAGCAAATGAAGCAAATGGTGTCATCTCAAATCTGCATTAGTGTGAGGATGGAAAAATTGATCAAGCCACAACAATTAAGAAAAGTAGGCCTATTGAAGGCTACCTGAACTGCAGCGTTTTCCTCAGCATCAGTTGACTGTTGAAATTCAGACTCCTCTTCTACATGAGAAAGTGTTGCAAGTTCTGTTGTTGACCGAATTTGGTTTTGCAGTTGAGGTTCTTCCACCAGCTGAGACAGTTGTAGGTAGATTGGTCCCGGGCTGGGCCTGAACCTTTGCTAGGAGGTCAGCTTCCAGAATATCTTCCACAGCTTGGTCCAATCGCTGCTCCAGTTCATCTTGAGAAAGAGGCTCCCATTCACGCTGCATCATTTCGAGCACAGCTCGACCAGCCGACGCAACATAATTATTATCCATGCGTGTGCGTGGTGCTGAGCACAGTGGAAAAAGTTTGATAGAGGACCACCGAAACTGTATCCTAAATACCGTATTTACTGATGTTGTTTTGTTGATTCACTCCTTTAAATAGTTGATGGATAATGCCATGCTTGTTCTGAACTTGGTCGGCCAACACACTAAATTACAGGCTATCTAGCGATCTAAAATGTATTCAAGGTAACTTATTAACAGATACTGGTAACTAACTAGCTAGTAAGTTGGCTATTATTGCGTTATAGCTAACTAGCTTGCTAATCCACTATGTCCTACTCAGTTATTGTGTAGATTGCTAAAGTTACCTACTCGACACCTGAGATGCAAATAAATTACCTAGCTAAATATTTGTTCTGTCTAGCTAGCTAGCGCTCATCCATCCTGCTAAAAACAAAAATATATTCTTCTTCTTCTTTAAACTTTTATGGCAGGCTACACCTATTGGTGTATTGCCGCCATCTACTGTACAGGGTCGTCTTCTTTGATATTATTGCGGTACGAATACAAATGCTATAGGTGCATGCCGCCACCTACTGTTTTGGCTGTATCAGCCCAAATAATTAACAAAATAAAACAAAATAAACAAAACTCAATGTACTCCTTCATTCAATTCAACTGCCAACGCCCATCCCTACAGGCTCTGGGAAATATATTATTATTCTGCTGTAGCTAGCGTAATAGAGTAAAAAAAACTGCAAGACATCGCCCTCTTTTGGCGGTGGTACACTTTTTCATAAAATCCTGAACATTTCCTAATTTTACCGCTGAACGGATTTTATTTCACCAAATTAATGACAAAGTGAATGGCACAAAAGCATTTCACAGAAGAGTGCATTAACGAAAGCAATAACAATATACCACACGGGGGTGACAAATATTTTTTGTTATGTCGAAAGGAATTTGTGGTTGTCCTGTTTTTAAAAGAGCATGTTGGCGAACAATTTCCATCTTAAAAGAGCATGACAACCATAACAAAGCCAGATTGTTGAATCTAATTGAGACAGTAATTTGTACCTTTATGCTTGTTTATCACGAAAGATGAGTGGACCACCGAAACGACAGACCACGGAAATATATGCTAAATACCATATTTACTGATGTTTTGTTGATTCACTCCTTTAAATAGTTGATGCAAAATGCCATGCTTGTTCAGAACTTGGTCAGCCAACACACACAAGTACAGGCTAGCTAGCCATCTACAATGTAACCAAGGTAATTTACTAACAAAGATACCGGTAACTAATAAATGGGCTATTATTGTGTTATAGCTAACTCGCTAATCCACTGTGTCCTCAACTGTGTAGATTAATGAAGTTACCTACCCGACCCTTGATGCAAATAAATTAGCTACATATTTTTGACTAGCTCTCATTCAGCCTGCTAAAACCACAAATATATTATTATCCTGCTGTAACTAGCGTAATAAAGTAAGCAAGTGCAAGAGATCGCCTCCTTTTGGCTGTAGTATAACACTACACTATCATAACATCCTGTAAATTTCCAATTTAACTGAACTGATTTTATTTCACCATATGAATGATGAATACCCAGTAAAGTGAATGGCACAAAAGCATTTCACAGAAGAGAGTGCATTAACAATATACCACACAGAAAATATGTTTTGTTTTTTATGTCAACTCAAGACAATTACAGGGTGTTGCTTGTATGATAAAGTCCTGTTTTTAAAAGAGCTTGTTGGTGAACCATTTCCATCATATCTTAAAAAGGGCATGACAACCACCCCAAAGTCAGATTGTTGAATCTAATTGAGACAGTTTACACCTATTTCAATTCAACACCAGTAATGTGTACCTTCATGCTTGTTTATCACAAAATATTAGTGATTCTTGTCTCTTTCCACTGAAGATTTCAAAACACAAAACTAAGGGTTTCCATTTCCCCGTTGGCAAAATAAAATAAAGGGGGGGGGGGGGGGGATTTGGGAGGGGTAGGGGTGAAATTGGTACACAGTTTTGTACGGACAGAATCAGGAAAACAATACACACAGGAACTCCAGCGCAAAAGGTCAAAAGTAAAGAAACAAGCAAACAAAAACCAGATAGTGGGAAAGCTTAATACCTTTACACTGAAATAAAAACTTTACAGATTGTAAATCTTCACAACATTCTGTGTGAGTGTCCGTCCGTAAGTACATGTGTTCTGCTATTCATTTTATAATGTCCTGGCATCAACATGTTTATGTGTGTTTATTTCAGATCCATTCATGCGCATATTATCTAGATAAGCTACTAACAAACTCACAAACCCTTTGTTGCTCCACATACAACCACACCAAGGAGTCATTAAAAATGCTAAATTGTAATAATAATAATATTGAATGAAGAAAAAAAACAAATGCAATCAGCAAGAGGGCATTCAAAAAATGTAATAGCCACTCCCTTCTCAAATCCCCACCAAGCCAAAACACACAAAGAACGTAGGCTACACCCTCCCCAAAAACAACCCAAACTTGTATTAATTAAATTAGGAGGTATGATACATTTTGTTTTTTTTCCCCCAACCCCCTTACTAACAGTGGCCTGACAAATCAGAAATAATTTTTGTTGAGGGATCTTGTGAGTGAATCTAAACATGCGTGAGTCTAGTTCAGGAATAACATGAAAATACTCCTCTGTGTGTGAGGGAATTCATGTTCTTCCTGCAAAGTTAAAGATCTCACAGGTACACTCGCATGTTACCCTACAGCAGTCTGTAAAGCCCACCTACCTAATCCAAAGCACCACTTCCCCGATCCCCCCCCCCCCCCCCCCCGCTTCCTTCACTGCACGGCCTGCTCATTGGTTGTGCTGCCAGAGTCCTGAGGCTTCATGACGTCAGGGAGTTCTGGGGGGCTGGAGAAGGGCTCAACCCTCAGCTGCTCAAATGCATCATCTGAAAGAGAGGGAGAGATTTGTTTGATAAGGAGAGAGTGAATAGTATCAAAGTGAAACAGAGGAAGCAAGAGGCATTATTAGAGGGAGAAACATAGGGGTGCAAGGAAGTTGCAATGTGTTTCTGTTACATTTTCACACAACAAACTATTTCACAGCCATTCTGATGGACAGATACAGCTCAACATCTGAATATAACAGAGTGAAAGTTTTGAAACACGGGACAGATACTACGTGACAGAAACATGAATACTCACCCCCGAGACGGAAAGCTAATCCAACAGTCCCTGGGGCCTGAGGTCTGGCTGTCTGGTTTGTGAAGCCACAGTCTCCAAGAGTCTTACTATCCTCCAGCAACATGTCATCCTGACACAAGAGAGATGTCAGAACAGAGGGTAGATATGTAATAACACCATCATGAATGCACATACAGTTCACCATTTAATCCATGCCCACAACTAATATATATATATACACACACATCACAAATGAGGGCAGTAGAGAAATAACAAAAAGAGAAGAACAGACTTTGGGGGATAGTTTTGGTTTAATAAATCAACTTCCTCCTAGACTGGGGGAATTTCTATATCAGAAGGGGGGGAAATTACATTTTTAATATTTAAAAAAAATAATAGAATAAATGACTTTAATTGGCCTGATCTTACTCCCCCACTTTGTAGCTGTCCTCCACAAGGGGTATGCACTGTATATACCTTGTAGAGCCTCTGTTCCTCCGGTGCCCTCTTTAGAATACCCTCCACTATGCGCTTCAGCTCGTAGACCGTAGTGGACTCTTTGGCATCAGTGAAGATGGTCGTCTTGTGACGCCGGATCATCAGAAACACATCCTAAGACAACAGCAAGTTAAGGGGATAAGACATAATAAAAATAAGAGTTTCCCAAACTTTTAGTACCAGGGACCACTATGCCGTTGCTCTCTGTTTGCTAGCTAACTAACAGACCAGTGTCAGTGAACAATAAGAAACACTGGAATAGGACTGATAAACATTGTCTAGTAGTCAATGGCCTGTGATTTGTATATGTGGAAGCCTTTCTTGAACCAATGTAACTGTTAGATGTTAAAAAATCTCAGTAGAGGGGAAAACCTTTGGATAAAAGCGTCTGCTAAATGGCATATTATTATTATTATAAAACCGCAGCCAAATCGGCCACCATAGGCTCCTGCCGGGTGGCAGCTGTGAAAGCAACATATGCTCATTCATCATTAGAAGTGCTAGAGACATCTCTCTAATTAAAGGCCTCAGGCCTGGGCCGGCCCCCAATAATGTCGACAACATGTAGGGATTGAGAATAGTGGGTAAAGTACAGTTTTATTAAAGTAAGGGAGTAAATTTGGGGCTAAGGTTGGGGGATCATGGAAAGTCAATTGGTGAAGACCGCACCACCAACTGTAAATCCCAGTTCCACCCATGTTTGAAAAGACAGCGACGAGATGTTGGAACTAGCCTTCAACCTGAAGAGGAAAATGCTACATTTCTGTTGACTGACAAAATGACAAACTGTTTGACGGTTTTGACTATAAGCTGATTTTACCTAAACTTGCCACAAGTTTGACTGGTTAACGGTATGTCTTACATTTACGTCATTTAGCAGACGCTCTTATCCAGAGCGATTTACAAATCTTCCAAAGTTAGTCGCTAGCTAACTACATATCGATGCTAGTTAGCTACCAAGCTGGCAACTGTATAACGTTAGTTTGCAACTAGTTAAATATCAAATGGAATGTTTGGGTAGCTAGCTAGCTAGTCAGCAAAAAATAGCCAGTTAATATTTAATTACTTGTTCAGTTAGCTAACTAACAGTAGTAGATGCCAGCCAACGTTAGCTAGCTAGCCCATTCACTCAATGCTTCACTGACGTGTGGTAATGTACGTTCACTTGCCAACAAGCTAATAGCTAGCCATCTGGGCAGTAGCTAGCTAACGTAACCTAGTTTCTATGGATATTGCAAGTGTGTTCGAGTGTCACCAAGGCTAGATAACTAGCGAAATGAGAGATCTAGCCTAAAGTTAGCTAGTTTCCTTTCTTTTTAACAAGTCCGACAGTGAACGTTTATCTAGAATTAGCTCGTCTAGTTGGACTAAAACTAAACGCTGATTGCAGTTAAGCAGCTACTGTAGCCTTGTTGACTTGCTAGTTACCGTTAGCCTAATATCCTGCGAAACAAAGGGGTTCCATATCAAGCGTTTCCCAACCATATGTCTTAATGGAGGGAATTAACGGTTTCTACATGTCAACATTTACTTTACCAAAGTAGCAAAAAGCCATAAGGATGTCTAGTCACAGTTATAAAATATATTATTTTTCTCTTCCTCACTCACCATTTCTCTCGGTCGGTTGCGCCTCCGCTATCCCACGCTGCACTGCGAGAATCACAAAACGCTCTAATCCAAAAGCTGTGTATAATACCAGAGATACTTTTGATGAGATAGGAAACTGCATTGAAATCGTATTTACGCGCATTGTGTACGTTGTCTATGCTATGTCAATGGACCGCGCGGTGCCTTCTGGACGATTCTTGGACAAGGAGAGCTCTCCTTCAAGGAGTCAATTGGCCGCTAGCTCAAAAACTCAACATTAGCATGCATTTTGTCAACAAAAAGTACAACATTACAAATCTCTTCCGAGATGTGAGATAATTAACTTGCTATATGTAATATTGTATAGCTTTGGAATCGTGACATTACGTTCTTTGGAGTTTCTCTACTCATACCCTGACTTTGAGAAGGGATTGCGTGACGATTCTCTTAGAAACAGCGTGACGCAGCATGACAACGTGAACGCGATTGGTCAACAGTCAGCTGATTGGGTCGTTACGCGTGCCTCCATTCATTGTCAATAGGATTCCTATCTCCTTTCTCTAATATCTCTGATCATACCCATACCTCAGTGGCGTGTATTCAGAGAACTAGTAATGGCGTCTTTTTGTAGGCACTAACTCCACAGCCAGAAGGGGTAACCATCTTTGCTAACCACGCCATGGTTCGTTAGCCCAAAGCCTATGGGGAAATTAATGGCGATTTTGAATAAACACCGAAATAAGGTCTGTGGTAAACACAGGTTTAGGAGATCTTATACGTTTTGTTCTATGAGATAATCTTAATCGGTTTACGTCACTTTCTGTAAATTTGTAAGCATTTATGTAATAAAAAAAAGCACAAAGTTTCAAAATTCATAATGGTCCTGTTAACTGACTGATATTATCTCGTAGAACAAAATATATAAGACCTAAGACCTTATTTTCGGCATTTATTCGAAAACCCTATTCTTTCCCCAACAAGTGGTAACTCATTCCCGGTTTTAGGACTACAAACTGGCGAGCTGTTTACCATTTAAGAACCAAAACAAGAGTTTATTAGCCAAATTCATGTAAATTCTATTGGAAAAATGCAGGTAAATTCCGTTTAAGAAACAGAATCGGTAGAATGAGCACGGCACTTGTAATGCCAAGGTAGTGGGTTCGATCCCCGGGACCACCCATACACAAAAATGTATGCACACATGACTGTAAGTCGCTTTGGATAAAAGCGTCTGCTAAATGGCATATTATTATTATTATTAAAACTCAAGCTTTGTTTTGAGAATGTTTCATAATTGTACATTTTGTTAAAACTCCGGCATCCTCTACAATGAAGAGATCCATAATAAATACATTATGAAACATGCAAGTATCTTTGTATAAACAAATTACATTTTGGGGGGGGGGAAAGAACATGACAAATGTTGCTTCAAGATAATTCATTCAATCTTATTCAAGGCATTTAAAAATAAATGTTAAATACCTTGAATAATCCTGAGTTCATAACCAAGTGGGAAGGTGGTATTTACCAGTTGGGAAGTCATAAATACCAGTTAGATACATTCACAAGGTTTGAACTCGCCGATTGGCTAATGGCCAACAAGCTGCTTCAACCATAAACTAAAAGTACAGCTATCATGACTGTAAACAAAAGTGTTCAAAAACAATAACAAGATTGCTTTTTATAAATAATGTTTTGTTGCATTTAACTGCCGAAAATGCTGTTATCAAGGTAATTTCCTTAGTATGTGATGTCAGAGGTCAGCATGTGGGAGAAGTCCGAGCTCAGGGATGATAGAGAAGTTTCCTACTACTAATTACCCAGTCGGAGGGGCGTTCAAGTGGATTTTTCCAAGATCATGTAAGGTGAAAATATCTACAGTATATGCTACAATAATGTTAGGTGAAAATGTCTATACTACAATAATGTACTGCAATAATGCATGTTTGGATTCATTTACTGAAAAACAGATTCACAGTGTAAAATAAAGACATTGATTTTAGGATTAGCTTATCACTAATCCATCATCTATGCTGCTATGCATGATGTTTTGGCTGATTTTGAATTGATCCAGTTGGTGGTTCATAAACTCCTGACCCACACAGACATCTCTGCTATCATGCTCTTGTGTAACAATCATGACACAGTACACCAGCCAAACACTGAACCATAAAAGACAAGTGTTTCTAATCAAAATGATCAAAACAATAAATAATAACTACTCCCCCCAAAAAGATATCAACATGACTGATAGAGCACTCATCCAATCAATTCTTCAGTTTTCCATGGCATGATTATCTTCAGAGGATCGCTCACTGTTGGGGTTACCGTCTGTGTTGGTGTTAGGATTCCCGTCTGTGTTACGGTTGGTGTTACCGTCCGTGCTACTGTTGTTGGGGTTACCATCCGTGTTACTGTTGGGGTTACCGTCTGTGCTACTGTTGGGGTTACCGTCCATATTACAGTCTCTGCAACTGTCGGTGTTAGGGTTACCGTCTGTGTTACTGTTGGGTTGACCGTCTGTGTTACTGTTGGTGTTACCGTCTGTGATACTGTTGGTGTTGGGGTTACCGTCCGTGTTACTGTTGGGTTGACCGTCTGTGTTACTGTCTGTGTTGGGGTTACCGTCCGTGCTACTGTTGTTGTTGGGGTTACCATCCATATTACTGTCTGTGTTACTGTTGGGGTGACCGTCTGTGTTACTGTCTGTGTTGGTGTTGGGGTTACCGTCCGTGCTACTGTTGTTGTTGGGGTTACCATACATATTACTGTCTGCGTTACTGTTGGGGTGACCGTCTGTGTTACTGTCTGTGTTGGTGTTGGGATTACCGTCTGTGTTACTGTTGGTGTTGGGGTTACCGTTACTGTCTGTGTTACTGTTGGGGTGACCGTCTGTGTTACCATCAGTGTTACCATCGGTGTTGCTCCTAAAAAAGGAGATCCTCGTAACTGTGCTCTTTCCAGCCGTTTCCTTCCCAGATTCAATGCCAACCATGTCTGTAATTACAGATAAACACAATATGATCAACAAATTACAATTATGTTAGTAACATACCATAAAAGACAACTACAATATAGAACAGTTAACAATCAAAGTACTCACTTGAACAATAAATATGTTGACAGCAAGTTATTCCAAAACCTCTTTAGGAAAGTCTGAACTGTAACAGCTGGTGCGAGATCTCTAATATTAAGTAAGTCTCAAGGTTCTGCTCGCCTGAGTTATATCTCACGATAAGCTGTAGACCATACTATTTACCAAAAGTGTTTCTGTATTTTTTCGTAGCTGTCTATTTACCACCACAAACCGATGCTGGCACTAAGACCGCACTCAACCAGCTGTATAGGACCAAAAGCAAACAAGAAAATCCTCATACAGATGCTGGTGATTTGAATGCAGGAAAACTGAAATTCGTTTTACCAGCATGTCACCTCTAGATCACCTTTACTCCACACACAGAGATGCTTACAAAGCTCTCCCCCGCCCTCCATTTGGCAAATTGGTCCATAACTCTATCCTCCTGATTCCTGTTTACAAGCCAAAACTCAAACAGGAAGCACCAGTGATGCGCTCAATATGGAAGTGGTCAGATGAAGCGGATGCTAAACTACAGCACTATTTCGCTAGCACAGACTGGATGGAATATGTTCCGGGATTCATCCGACGGCATTGAGGAGTTTACCAGTTACCGGCTTCATTAATAAGTGCATCGACAATGTTGTCCCCACAGTGACCGTACATACCCAACCAGAAGCCATGGATTACAGGCAACATCCCCACTGAGCTAAAGGCTAGAGCTGCCCCTTTCAAGGAGCAGGACACTAATCCGGACGACTAATAAGAAATCCCCCTGCGCCCTCCGACGAACCATCAAACAGGCAAAGTGTCAATAAGGGACTAAGATCGAATCCTACTACACCATCTCTGACTCTCGTCGGATGTGGCAGGGCTTGCAAACAATCACAAAGAGAAACCCAGCCATGAGCTGCCCTGTGACATGAGCCTACCAGACGAGCTAATTGCCTTCTATGCTCAAATGCATGCTATGCTCGCTTCGAGGCAAGCAACAATGAACCATGCGTGAGAGCACCAGCTGTTCAGGATGACTGTATTATCACTCTAAGACCTTTAACAGGTTAACATTCAAAAGGTCGCAGGGCCAGACGGATTACCAGGACGCATACTCAGAGTATGCGCTGACATCTTCAACCCCTCTCTGACCCAGTCTGTAATACCTACATGTTTTAAGCAAACTTCCATAGTCCCTGTGCCTAAGAACGCTAAGGTAACCTGTCTAAATGACTACCGCCCCGTAGCACTCACACCTGTAGCCATGAAATGCTTTGAAAGGCTGGTCATGGCTCACGTCAACACCATCATCCCAGACACCTTGTACCCACTCCAATTCGCATACCGCTCCAACAGATCCACAGATGACGCAATCTCTATTGCAATCCACACTGCCCTTTCCCACCTGGACAAAAGGAACACCTATGTGAGAATGCTGTTCATTTACTACACCTCAGCATTCAATACCATAGTGCCCTCCAAGCTCATCACTAAGCTAAGGACCCTGGGACTAAACACCTCCCTCTGCAACTGGATCCTGGACTTCCTGACGGGCCGCCCCCAGGTGGTGAGGGTAGGCAACAACAAATCTGCCACGTTGACCCTTAACACGGGGGCGTGTGCTCAGTCCCCTCCTGTACTCCCTGTTCACCCACGACTGCGTGGCAGCGCATGACTCCAACACCATCATTAAGTTTGCAGATGACATGGTGTACTCCCTGTGTGTACTCCCGAGTGGCGCAGTGCTAGCTGTGCCACTAGAGATCCTGGTTCGAGTCCAGGCTCTGTCGCAGCCGGCCGCGACCGGGAGACCCATGGGCGGTGCACAATTGGTCCAGCGTCGTCCAAGGTAGGGGAGGGTTTGGCCGGCAGGGATGTGGGTTCGTTTCCCACCGGGGGCCAGTAAAAAATAACATGTATGCAGTCACTAACTGTAAGTCGCTCTGGATAAGAGTAATGTAATGGTGGTAGGCCTGATCACCAACGACGATGAGAAAGCCTATAGGGAGGTCAGAGACCTGGCAGGACAATAACTTCTCCCTCAACGTGGGCAAAACAAAGGAGCTTATCGTGGACTACAGGAAACGGAGGGCCGAACACGCCCCCATTCACATCGACGGGGCTGTAGTGGAGCGGGTCGAGAGCCTCAAGTTCCTGGTTGTCCACATCACTAAGGACCTATCATGGTCCAAGCGCAGCAACAGTTGTGAAGAGGGCACGACAATGCCTCTTCCCCCTCAGGAGGCTTGGCATGAGCCCTCAGATCCTCAAAAGGTTCTACAGCTACACCATTGAGAGTATCTTGATTGCTTTGTATGGCAACTGCTCGGTACTCAACCGCAAGGCGCTACAGAGGGTAGTGCGTACAGCCCAGTACATCACTGGGACCGAACTCCCTGCCATCCAGGACCTCTATACCAGGTGGTGACAGAGGAAGGCCCTAAACAATTTCAAAGACTCCAGCCACCCAAGTCAGACTTCTCTCTGCTCTGCTTCTCTCTACGGCAAGCGGTACCGGAGCGCCAAGTCTGGGACCAAAACGCACCTTAACAGCTTCTACTCCCCAAGCCACGAGACTGCTTAACAGTAAATCAAATGGCTACCCGGACCATTTACATTGACCCCCTTTATTATTTATTTATTTATCTTAATTGTTTTGCACTGACTCCCTTGCACTGGCTATATGCACACTCACTAGGCTCTACCCACACAAAACACATGCATATTGACGCCACACACACTTACTCTTCACATACGCTGCTGCTACTCTGTTTATCATCAATCTTGACTGCCTAGTCACTTTCACCCCTTTCCACACATACATAATGTATTACCTCAACTACATTGTACCCCTGCACATTGACTCGGTACTGGTACTCCTTGTATATAGCCTCAGTTTTTATTGTGTTACTATTTCCTTTTTACTTAGTTAGCGTTGGCTCGCAAAACTACCTCCAACGTCCTTCATACTGGACACAGAGACATAAAAATGGTATCCACAAGTTCATCTGGCACTGCCAAAATCCCAAAGTATCCCTTTAACTATCACTGCAGTGTGTGATATATATATATATATATATATCGTATAGTACAGGGATTGCACTCACCTTGCGCATCAGTGTCATGCCCACTCTCTTGAGTGGACTGGATTGCAAAGGAACTCTCTCTGAGCTCTGCAGGACTGAACTGTAGGAAATATAGGAGGACAGGCAGAAACACACCCATTCAATTGAAATGCAATCCATTATGATAAGAGTTTAGCTATAACTACAGAGAAAACTTACAGACAGATCCCTGGGGGTGGTGACCGGCTGTGGTCCTTTGCAGCACAGAAGAGAGAAAGGTCTCTGCTTGGTCTTGGGGTGCTCCTTGAAACACAGGCTGAACACCTTTGCAGGGAGGCAGACATCCCAGTTGTCTGGATGGTCTTTCACAAGATCAGACACCATCCTGTTGGGGTGAAGGCCACCATGGTCAAAGTTGAGTATGAAATTAAACACCACAGAAAGGAATGTGTCTAAAACACAAACCTGCTGATCAGGGTCTGTGTGGCCAGATCCAATGATCCAACTTGCCGATGGCGGTATAAGAGAGAGAACCCCCTCAGCTTCAGATGACTGTTCAAGGCAAGGTTGATCTGAAACATGAATAAATGTAAACAGCTCATACGATTGTCTAATGAACCACTCTTGACCTAGTGACCGCTACTGCATATATGAACCAACCTCGAGATTGTAGCAAGGTATGTGTAACAGTAAGTATGTGACAAAATATATTTTTGCCTCTCACCTTACTGGTAAACTTCCTCTTCAGTCGAACAAGGATTCCAAAGGGGAAACCAAAGTGAGAGATGACTTCAGCTACATGCTGTGCCACCTCAGTAGAGCTACAACCTCTCAGAGGGAAGGCCTCCACCCATTTGGAGTAGAAGTCTGTCAAGGTCAGAACATACTGGTGTCCGTTCGGTGTTAGGGGCAGCGGCCCTCTGATGTCCATACCCAGCCACTCCCATGCCTCTGTGATCTGGGTAAGAATGGGAGACAATGTATAGTACTGTTTTAATGATATTCTTATAGGTTTTAGATCCAGAGTGAGACATATTCAAAAAAGACAGGCCAATGAATCAATGATCAACTTGTTGGAGGCTCTATTCCTAGCCCTGTATTAGAGACTGAATGTTTATACATCCTTCATTACCTCTATTATGTGCTTGAGGGGTGGAAGTTGGAACTCCATGTTCTCACATGCCACCTGAAAATAAAGTGTACTGTTTATCAAATTCTTAGCATAAGCTATTGGTATGTAGCATAAGCTATTGGTTATTCCAGTGAGTAAACAACTTACCTTCGGGGCAACATCATCTTTGAATCCCCAGCGAATACTCTGCAAAGATCAATATGAGGAAAATTTGAGAAAATGTCTACTACAAAAGCCCAGTAAATAATCCCTGTATATCAGGCAAAGCAATAGTCCAATCAGACCACCTAGAGACACTCACGTGTGGTAGACAGTAGTCACTGTGGAAGAAACCTGGGAGGGATTCAGCCATTTGGATTTCTTCATCTACGTGGATATACCAACTTTAGAGGTCACTTTTTCTGGAGCTCTGATCCTTCAAAAACAGAAGTTGACAATATAAAAAGCAAGCACTACAACACAGGTAGAAATCATACTGCTCTACAGTGACGTTGTGCATTCCAAAAAGGGCAAGAACATGATTAAATTCACAAGGTTATTTACTTAGTAGAGTCTTTAGTCGATGTGATGGTGGGGCTTGGTGTTGTGACAGGTTCAGCCACTGTAACAGCAGGGGCAGCAGTATACTTCACTGGCAACCCATCACTCTGCATGCAAAAAACAAAGAGAATGACCACCATTACTGCGTGGACGCATGTACTTTAAAACGTACCGTGTCTAGGCTATGCATTTCCATATCAATGCTTCACTTACCAAGTGAAAACATAGCAGAGCTACATCAAATGCAATACAATATCAAGATGGACACTAACGTGCCATGTGTGATGCCAAATATAGCCAATGAGTTATTAGCCTCTCCCTGTGCCTTACCCTGGCTCTTCTACTCTGTGGGTGGATGGATGCCTGTAGAAGGAACACATTTATTTTGAAATCACACGTTTACTAGATGCTAAATATTTTATAAAACACCGTGTTATTTGTGTAGTTAGTTCTACTGACTTTGGGATATAGCTAGCTAGATCAATTGTTCGGTTGCTGCGTACCTTCTTCTTTTGAAAATTTTCTGGGAAGTCAAAAATGGTCGGGACTGCATCTGGCGTGAGCCGTTGACGTTTGTCCATCCGGCAAATGTATTTGTCTTCGAAGTGAATGGAGCACACACGGTGGTGGTGTTGCGGATTCCAGTCTTTCCACTTCATATTAATAATCCATCGTTTGCGTCTTTCAGGGTCATTTTTTGGGGAAACTGTTACCAAAAACATTAATACACCAGCAAATTGTTATCACAATAGTATCAAATGATGAACAGTAAATCCAAAAATTATTTATGTAGATTTCTAAGAGAACAGCATCGCAAAAGAACATAGAATCGAGCTAGCTAAGATTTTTTTGTAATAGGTTCTCCTGCACACTATTTGTACTAGCTAGTTAGCGCGAACTTTTACTTTAGCTACCATAGTTAGCTAGATAGCTAGCTACCGTAACGTAGTAGGCATCTATAACGTTAACGTGGCTCTCGAGCAAGACGGTAAAACTTACCTAAAAAATCCTACATCAGCTTTGGGACCGCGATTTTTGCAGTTGTATGCTGAACACAGTGTTGGCATTTTTATCGCTGTGTGAAATGAACAAATATAAAATTCGCGGGACAACTAGCTAGCTAACCGCTCTCAAAGGTGATGATGCCGCCGGATGTTAATGGTTTTTACACGGGTTGTTCTTGTTCTTCTTCGTGTGGTTTTCCGGCAGACTTACTGCCTTCCACAGGTTGGAGTGTGAATTGCAAAATGTATTCACAAAAAAGTAGAATGGGGAAAAATTAAATGCACCACCATCTAACGCTTCATAAACGCCACTATTCAGGGTTGCCAGGTCAAACAAATGTCTCGCCAATGACCACACAAAACCCGGCCACATGGCCTGAAATCTAGTTAAAAAATATATATATTATGCAGCAAGGGGAGTTGCCACATTTAGCCAATAAACCCTTTTTCCATAACATTATCGAGCTTATTAAGAAGGAATATCAACGTAACTTGTAACGACATAAGAAGCTAAATTCGTTTTTCCATCAAAACAATAATTATTGAGAGCTACGGTGACTAATAAAGGAATTTCAATATGTCGCAAGATAAATTATAATTCGCCCTCATTAAAATCGCCAGATCATTTTCCATCAATGGATGTCGATTTAACTATTTGACTGCTATGATTAAGCAATAAGGCCCGGGGAGGTGTGGTAGGCTATATGGCCAATATAACACGGCTAAAGGCTGTTCTTTATGCATTACACAACGCAGAGTGCCTGGATACAGCCATTAGCTGTGGTATATTGGCCATATACCACAAACCCCAGAGGTGCCTTACTGATATTTTAAACTGGTTACCAACGTAATTAGAACAGTAAAAATATTTTTTGTCATACCTGTGGTATAGGGTCTGATATGCCACAGCTTTCAGCCAATCAGCATTCAGGGCTTGAACCACCCAGAGTTTGAGGGATGAAAATTGGACAGAGGATCTCGAAATCTCTATGCAAGAAACACTTGGACAAACTTAAAAAAAACGAATGTTAGGCAATTTTCTGGCAATTGTGACTTCATTATGTGCCAGATGTTAAGACTACAAACCGTTATAAATGGCATATTTGGGAGATTGACTAGTCATTTCAATCGGCAAAGGCTAGGCCTACTGACTCAAATCTGGGTTTATGATTAGCTAGATGCAGGTAGACTACAGCCCCTGATAGGCCTACATCTAATTTCAGATAGCCTACAGTAACCTAGGCAAGATGTAGGCAAGATGTAAAATGAATGATTTAGCAGTTTGCTTTGTTCAAATTGACAATTTATTCAACATGGTGGTGATTTCGAGGTAGGAAGTGCTAATGTTGCCCTGCTGGAATAGGCTACTGATAATGGGGTTATAATTTCAATCACTGAATCAAATATTAATAATATGGATATGAACCGAATAGGCCTATGCTTGTCAACAACAGCCAGTGTTGTTGTTTTGTTACATGTAGCCTAATTCGACGGACTGTTACCTTCAATCTAATAACAGCTGATCAGCAATTGCGATAGAACTGTGACCATGATCACAATTGGTAACGTCCAATTTCATTAACTTAACATGGACATTAATAATTGCATGATAACACAAGGCTACAACAACAATAAACTGAAGTTATAGGCTATTTATTAAATCCGTTTGCCAGCTCCAGGTAGGCTACACAAGTGGCATAAACTCATTTACAATGACTCCAGTGATATCGTCATTTCAACATATTTATTGTATGAAATGGTAGGTTACAGTAGCCTACATAGGCATAGAAATTAATAGGCTACTTGATGGCCAACAGATGCACATGTAGGCTATCATTCTTCACATTTAATGTCAGTTTTATTGTGGACTTTATACCATAACAGAAGCACGCGAGGGCGTTCCATGACTTCCATTTCAAATTTCCAGTGAGCATGCGAAAAATCCTTCGCTTGCTATGGTTTTCCATAAGCAAAGTTGATATAAGAATGCAGTTTAAACCACCTCCAAACGAATTTTTCTAATGGGCTCTAGAGCTCCTAAAGTCGTTTTCCTTTGCTTCGTCTCCGTTATTTCTTGATGCGCATCAATTCTAGCGCGTTAATGTTTTATGGAAAAGGGGTTGGAAATAGGTCTCCATAATGACAACCTAAATAGCCTACTTGTAACGATGTGTGCGTTCTGCGCTCCATACTCCGTACTGCGCGCATCCCACAACCAATACATTTTCACCCGCGACATCGTTTTCAAAGTAGCCATATTTTCCGGGAAAAGCTCACACATGGCAACCCTGCCACTATCCCCAACAAACCCACCACCCCTTCCCACTACTTTGGCCCTGACAGATCCAACACCAGACCGTCGGCCTGGGAGGATGTAACTCCTTCTCTCAAAACCCCCTGTAGTAGTTCTTCTGCACTAAAATCTCTGACATCCAAAATCTTCTCTGTTGCTGCTACCACCAAATCACTCTTCTGGGATTTCCGTTGTTTCTGTGAAGTACAATTAATGACTATAGCAATAAATGCAACAAATCCTAGATTACTAAAATTCGTCCTCTCTGGCTCTGTCTCTTTAGGCCTAGGCCTACTCACTGGGGGCACCCAATTGAATCACTCACACTTGGGCTTTCTGCCCCACTTGTTGGGGTTGTTGCTTAGAGTCATTGGGTTGTTTATCTCTTCCATAGAGATAGATAGAAGACTCCAGTGCCCAAAAACCCGTTTTAGCATGGGCAGGGCTATAGAGGACTTTACCATTTTTAAATAGTCCACTGGGTGGGATTTCCTATGGGTTAAGGAAGGATCACATACTTCCATCCAGGTCATCAGGAGGGATCAGCCAATTAATTATTTGAACAAACATAACTGCAGGTGACAGTAAAATCGGCAACCTTGGCTTTATACCTGTTCAAACAACACACTCCAGGTGGCAGTATGCACCCTTTCAGTTTGTTTACCAACTCATAGAAGTATTAGAAGAAGAAAATGGACTACTTCAAAATGGAGATGGCCTCGTCTGCTCTCACAGACGCCATAATGGGACAGATAAGACAAAGATTTGTATAACTAACCCAAAATAGACCACAGCCTGTCGTTTCCAATGGGAACAAGTGAGTCATAGTGGGCAGAACAAGCAAGGAGGTGGGCAGAGCCAAGCACGAGCTAGCAAGATCCTATTGGCGCGTTCTAGCGTGCATTTGCATATTTCCGTTAGGGAACGCCTACTCTGTGAAGTGCCCGTGTGCAATAACTCAATTCGCCTTTGCACTCTTTCTAAACAACGCAAAGGGTTGTTTAGGGTAAAGTCTACAAATCTTAGTCCACTCTGTTCATAACAGATTATAGTTTTGGGAACAGAAAACTGTATCGAGATCAAATGTTTAATCAATGAGAAAATTTGCAGAATGTTGGCCAAAATCTATCTCGTTCCATCTTCTCCCACTGCCGGCCACTGGGCTTCCTCTCACTACCAACCGTTGAAATATCTGTCTCATTGTTCCATCTGTGGATATGACTTTAGGTCCTCTAGCTCTATGGCGTCTTCTTTTCGTCTTCTTCTTCTTCTTCTTTAAAAATGTATCGGCAGATCACAACCAACTGAAAGGTCCATATACCGCCATCTGCTGTACTGGAGTGTGAGGCCGGTCATAATTCTATATCATCTTATCTAACCCTGTATTTCTAATCAAATAAAATAAAGCCCTACAAACCTCACTACTCCCATCCCCCTCACCCAAACCCCATCCAACCTCTCTGACCCTATCAAACAACCTCTCCCTTTCTACATCATACAATTCACAATATAATAATACATGTTCAACCATTTCCTCTACCATACACCCCTCACACATTCCAGTATCATGCTTCCGTACCAATTTCAAAGAGGAATTCAATCATGTATGCCCTAATCTCATCCTACACAACATAACTTCCTCCCCTCTTTTCCCATTACATGACACTATCTCCGGTACAGATTTCCTTGTACTATAAAGATGTCTCCCCTTATTACTTGCATCCAATAGAGCGCAATAGTAATGTAGGCACTTTCTGTAGGCACTAACGCGTTGGCCAAAGCCAATGGGGAAATTCATGTTTTTTTTGGGGATAAATGCGGAAAATAAGGTCTGTGGTAAACACAGGTTTAGGAGATCTTATCGTTTTTTTCTATGAGAATCTATCAGCTAATGTCACATTTTGTGAATTTTGAAGCATTTATGTAATTAAAACAAGCACATAAAGCTTCATAATTCAGAAAGGTCATGTTAACTGACTGACTGTCTAATATATCAAAACGTATAAGATCTCCTAAGCCTGTGTTAACCTCAGACCTTATTTTCAGCGTTTATACCAAAACCCTATTCTTTCCCCCATAGGAATGGCTGAACGAAACCAGAGTTAACTCATTTCCGTTTTTTAGGACTATAAACCACAATCCAACTCAGTCTTTCGGATCAATGCTTTAAACTCTCCTCTACCTACTTGCACCTGTATCCACTTTATTATTTTTCACTGCTTTCTTTGCTATTATATCTACAATATAATTTCCACTGACTCCTGTAAGAGCAGGAATCCAACAAAACTGAACCTCAATCCCATTTCTTTGTAACTCTGACAACATCATCATTACTTCTAACCATAAATCATCTCGTTCTGATTTTCCAGATCTTAAACTGCATAAAACTGATGCAGAATCTGAACATCTGTCTACTCTTCTTGGTTGAACCTCCTCTATCCACTGCAATCCAACAATTAGCTCATCCATTTCTGTTTAATATACAGATTAACAAATTATTTATCTCTTGCATAGATTAACATCGAACTCAGGAATAAATACACCTGCTCCTGTCTTCCCCTTCATGGGATCTTTCGAACCATCTGTATACACTGCCAAGCAAGAATAAAACTGATTACTAATATATTGATCCACTACTGAATAACTTATAAATGCCTCATGAGCTTAGTTACCCCACCCAAACCCCAAATATACGCTTATTTAACTAAATGTTTTTGTTTTTTTAGGGGGTAGATCATCTTTAATATTGCAGATAGATTGATAGAAACTACAATGTAATTGTCTGCATCATTTCCAATCCTCCATATATATTTTTTGTAAATATATACTGTATATCATTTTATTTATATATTTTTGAAATATATTTTCCCCTAACCCTACCACCCCTCCCCTAATTGGA